TCGCACTCGGCGCGAGCGTGCGAGCGAGTCAGCGCTTCCTTCCTCGCGCCAGCGCGCGCGCGCGTTTTTCTCTCATCCTGTAAATTACCAGGTGTAGAAGTATAAAACCGGAATTTCCCTATAGATGGTGCTAGCCATCAGTTTAGGGACCGTAAGACCGCTTCTGCAGCACCATTATCTAACAGCTGACGAAGATTTTCAACTCACAACAACCCAAGTTCCATACACCGGTATATTTTTCTATAACCTTAAACATGTCGAGTTTTGTGCCTACGAACTACGATTTGCGGACAGCATTGGTTTTTTTGTTATCATTTGAAGAAAACTGCTGCGCATCGAATGCTTGTCGAAACTTACGGTGAACATGCTCTTGGTAAAACACAGTGTTTCGAGTGGTTGAAAAAATTCAAAAGTGGTGATTTTGACGTGAGAAACGAAGAACGTGGGAAACCACCGAAAAAGTTCGCAGACAAAGAATTGCAAGCCTTATTGAATAAAGATGATACCCAAACTCAACCAGAACTCGCGGATGAATTGAATGTGACGCAGAAAGCTGTCTCAATTCGTTTGAAAGCCATGATTCAGAAAGTGGGAAAATGGGTTCCGCATGAACTGAATGAAAGACAGCAAGAAAATAGAAAAACCACTTGTGAAATGCTGCTCGACAGATACAAAAGAAAGTCCATCGTATCATGACAGGTGATGAAAAATGGATATATTTTGAGAATCCTATGCGTCAGAAATCATGGATGAATCCAGGCGAACCATCGATATCCACTGTAATCGCTTTGGAAAGAAGACAATGATCTGTGTTTGGTGGGATCAGGAGGGTGTAATCTATTATGAGCTGCTAAAACCTGTTGAAACCATTAACACTGATCGCTACCAACAGTAAATGATAGATTTAAATCGCATGAAAAACGACCGGAATATGGAAAAAGGCAACACAAAGTCATTTTGCTCCATGATAATGCCTCATCACACACAGCAAAACGGGTCAGGGAAACGATCGAGGCGTTCAGTTGGAAAGTACTAACGCATGCGGCTTATTCTCCAGACTTGGCTCCGTCCGATTATCATCTATTCGCATCAATGGGACACGCTCTCGCTGAACAACGCTTCAATTCGTATGAAAATGTACGAAAATGACTCGATAGCTGGTTCGCTTCAAAGGAAGAAATGTTTTTTTGGGGTGGCATTCATAAACTGCCGGAGGGGTGGAAAAAATGTATAAAAAGCAATGGACATTATTTTGAATAAAATATTTTTTATCATTTTCAAACAACAGACGTGTAATTTTTACAAAAAAATTCCGATTTTATACTTCTATCCCTGGTACTGGTCGAAGGCTTACCCAGATAAACCCATGATTTTCGCCTTATTGGATTATCATAGAAGATTCATTTTTTGTCACAGGTCACAATCTTATGCAGGAAGCTTTTTTTTAATCTAGAGATCAATGAGAGCAACAGCAGTATCATAGCGTCACTTGTGTTCTCAGCTGTTGTGGGGAATCCAACGGCCCTCCTGTTGAATCCTCTCCAGCTTGTACAGATGCTTAGAAAAGGCTTGTCGTGTTACTCCAAATTCCTTTGCGAGCTCTGACAGTGTGCGATAAGAATTCTCTTCTTAAAGTTGTTTCAGTTTCTTATCTTCGACTTCTTTTGGCTGTCCCAGACATTTTTCATGAAAGTCGAAATTTCCTCTCTTAAATCGCTAGAACCACTTCTTACGGGTACTGTAGGAAACAGCATCCTCTCCCAAAGCCGCACAAATCATTTTCTGAGCTTCAGTGGCATCTTTTTCCAAGTAAAAGGCAAAAAGATGGCAGCGTTACGAATGTTGCTTCTCGAATAATATTGCTTTCACTACTGCTTTTTTTTATTAGGTTAGTACAATTGTCAATTATTACAGTGCCTTTTAAAGCTTACAGATAGCGCTTCGATATACAGCGGGAAAAATATATGAATTTGAATAGGTACCGTCATCAATTGAAATTAGGGGTCGAGAATTAAGTCGCGTACTTAACCCTTTTGTTACGGCAGTCCGCGCCGCTGGAGTGACGCCACTGAACGGGGCACCGCGTCGCGAAGTGTGCATATTGCACGTCGGTAGTCTTCGATGTTCGCACTTTTCGTCTTTCAACACCATTTTGGGATTCTCTTGTATATATATTACTTTAAGAGCTAACAACTTTTTTGTCGTATTATATGAAAAACATAAAAATGAGAATATGAGTATTCAGTCAATTACATATTTGCAAATTTTCGGGGTCGCGCACGTACGCCGATTATAGTCGGCACCTGTACACACAGGTTGTCGCGCGGGCGCCGATTATAGTCGGCACCCGTAACGAAAGGGTTAATATTCGAGAATATTTGATAAGAAACTTGGTCCGCATACTAATAGAGAACGAAAACGACATCTGTATATGTGATCATAAAGTATCCTTCCTATGGATGAATATTCTATGATTACAAATTATTCTGACAATAATTTGTTGTTTGACAGTTGCTTAAACAGAAGTGTTTCATGTGAACACAGTGACATTGACAAATGGATAAAATTGGAATTCGAGGTGTGATTTAATTCTTTTTTCTGGAAGGGAAAACAGCGAAGGAAATTCTTGAAAGGATTTCTCCTACATTGGGTGACTTATGCCCTTCCTATGAAACCGTTCGACTTTGTGTAAATAAATTCAAATATGGCAAAACTAGCATCGAAAATGCATCACGTCCTGGAGTCTTGAAATCAGCCGTGACACCAAAAATCATCGATAAAATCTTTGATATGATTTTAACCGATAAACGAGTGAAAGTGCGTAAGTTAACAGAGGCCGCAGGCATCTCAACTGAGCGGGTTCATTTCATTTTGCACAATGAATTGCACATGAAAAAACTTTGCGCAAAATAGGTGCCACGTTTGCTCACATCAGAGCAAAAACGAATTCGCATGTGAACTTCAGTCGACTGTTTGCAAGTATTTAAGAAGAATCTAGCGGATTTTTGTGGCGTTCTGTAGCCATGGACGAAACTTGGATTCACTACTATATCCCGGAAACTAAACAGCAGTTGAAACAATGGATCGCACGGGGCGAATCGGCTCCGAAAAGAGCAAAATGCATTCCATCCACTAGGAAGGTAGTAGCATCAGTTTTTTGGGATGCGAAAGGAATTCTCCTGATTAATTATCTCGAGAAGGGAAAAATCACTACTGGAGAATACTATGTATCAGTTTTAGATTGATTAAAGGCAGCAGTCGCAGAGAAACATCCAAAAATTGCCAGAAAAGAAGGTATTGTTTCACCATTACGCACCGGCGCATTCAAGCCGTCCTGTTAAGCAAAAATTAACCGAACTGTGATTTGAACTGCTTCCGCATCCAGCCTATTCACCTGATCTAGTTCACTCGGATAACCATCTGTTTCTGAAACTTAACTTTCTCAAGACTTTCTTGGTTTGACAAAAATTTGGATCAAATGAAGAGGTCATGCAGGAGGTAAAGTATTTTGAGGTCCTCGAAAAAATCTACTTCCGCGAAGGAATCACGAACATAAAGAAATATGCCCTTGAAGCAAGTGCGTTGAACTTCAAAGGGACTATGTCAAAAAATAAACTATGTTACAAAATTCAACTTGTTTGTTGTTGAATTATCTTTAATATTAAAACAAGTTACTTATCAAACACCCTCGTATTAGGTGTGTTTTGAAATTCACTGTTCGTACTAAAAAATTAGTTCATGTTACGTGTAATATAGATTTTCAGTACTGACAATGAATGTCGAAACAGATATTATTATATATTTTTCTGATGTATTTTTATATATTGTTATCTTTTATCAATAACAAATACGATATCTCAATCAAGATATACGAGGGCGGTTCAATAAGTACCCGTGTTAGACGACAGAGGGCGTTCCTGAGGGAAGTTGGTGTTATCATCGTGTGCTGTCATCTATCAAACGACGGCAAAACAAATTGCAGACTGATTGATAGGTTAGTTTGGATTTGGCAGCCATTCGAGTAAGACATGTTTCGTGATTTTCGCTAAGATGGAAAAAGAGCAGTATCGTTCGGTAATTCGCTTTTTGATTTTGAATGGGAAAAAATGCAAGGAGATAAAAGCAAAGTTGGATGCTGTTTATGGGGACACTTCGCCATCTATGACCACAGTTAGATATTGGTTCAACGAATTTAAACGTGGGCGAACATCCGTTTTTGATGAGGAGCGACCAGGACGCCCGGCAGACGTTACCGAGGTGGTTACCGAGGAAATCATTCAAAAAGTCCACATGATTCTCGCTGATCGACGAACGAAAGTGCGCGAAGTAGCAAAGGCCGTAGGTGTGTCGACCGGAACGGCAATTAATATTTTACATGATAAGTTGGCGATGAAAAAATTGTCGGCCCGATAGGTGCCGCGATTGCTCACGGTGGAAAGCACATTCATCCGGAGCTGTCGCCGTCACACTGCATGAATTGCGTTATGAATTGCTGCCGCACCCCCGTATTCACCCGATCTGGCTCCCTGCGACTTTTTCTTGTTCCCTAACATGAAGAAATGGCTCGCGGGAAAAAAATTTAGCTCAAACGAGGAAGTCATCGCCGAGACAGAGGCGTATTTTGGAGAGTTCGACAAATCCTATTTTTTGGAGGGGTTAAAAAAATGGCAGGAACGTTGGGAGAAGTGTATCTTTCTAAAAGGGGACTATGTTGAAAAATAAAAAAAAATTTTTTGAAAAAATGGTGTCTTCATTTCTAACACGGGTACTTATTGAACCGCCCTCGTGAGAGAAAGAAGCAAAATTTTATGAAATAATGATATGAAGAAAATATATTTTTATTTTATTTTATATGCATTTTGTACATCCACTAAAACAAATATCGGTCAACAATTTATTTTTTAATGTAAGAAATATATGAGCTACAATATATTGTCATACTAAGTTAAAACGTAACACAATATATTGTCATAATAAGTTAAAACGTAATTACACTATTGTTAGTTTCGATTGGCAAGTAACACAGATATATAGCCTGCCGACGTTTTTAATAACTGCAACAATTTTTAACGATAAATAATTAAATATTAAATATTTATTTTAATAAATAATTAAATATAAAAATTCAAGTATTTTTTAAAGACTTGAACTCATCAAGTTCTAATAAATTACAAAAATGAATAAATTTACTTATTTTCACAAGTGAGCAGGAAATTTTAGGTGAAACAGAAAATATAAAAATAAGATTATAAGATTATTCTATGTTACACGTAACTTACATTACAAAACGTAGTCATCGTCATAGGAAACATTTTTCCAGCAGTGATGTGAAGCGGTTTCTTTGCGCGAAGCATAATTAATATTAAGTTCTTTGCTATGTTCGGCTCTAAAGTGTACCATACGTATTCATACGTAGCGTGACTTATTCCTTCAGACTGAAAAGATACGACTTATGCATAATATTTTTGTGACAAATTTATTGAAAACAGAATCTAGCAAAATAATAACAGTTATTTAAATTAAAAAGTGTCTCGAAACTATAATCATTTAATAAATATTGATTAAAACAAAATTGATTAAAAAGATATTGTAGATCTCAAAAGTAGACCATTCATGTAGAGTACATTATCGTTAAAGTTATTACTCAGTTATTATATGTACTCACTTGCGTTGACAGAAATTCGCCCACTAAACAGTAGAGACACATGTGCAACAAAACACATAAACCGGCGGAGACAAACCAAATCAACTGCATGAACGACAACCCACTACCATCTTGATTAATGACCTGAACCGTCATAAATCTTTACGTTTAAATTAAACTCTATGATACAACATTCTCAAGTCATTGTGTGAGAAGAAGACTATTAGTATGCAACTCATTGGAAACTGCAACATTAGGTCTGTTCTTTCTCGCTGAATTAGTGTTTTATTACACTTATAAAATTTTAAAAAACAGATACCTAGTAAGCAAATTGATCGCAGACTGCGTGTAAATTGGCAGCAAATTTGATCAGAATCCCACACCGAAACGATAACCATCTGTGCCCGCATTCAGCTCGTGTTTTGGAGACAGACCCATAACACGAGCCTGCTAACAGACAATGTGAGCAGACTGGCAGCAAAAACTGCGCAGAACCTGTTACCAAACTACTTGCAGCAAGATATGCTCGGTTTTTGCCACCAATCTGCAGTCGTATCGATACAGGTTCTGCTTGGTTTCTGTTGCTAATCTGCTTGCATTGTCAACAGATTTTGTCGCATTTCTGGTAGCAGTTTGGCAATATAATACGGTAGAACAGAATTGTGTTAGATTTGTTCTTTTTTGCCATCAAAAATTTGTAGCTGGGTCCGCTCGAATTCTGTTAGCACAGATTTGGTTATTTGGGTATACAATTAAGATTTTGTGGAAGAAAGAAGAGAAAAAAACTGTTACGTCCTGGGTACCTCGGGAAGTACGGATTCCTTTTTTTTTTATATATAATCGGGAGGCAGACGAATGTCGGGCAAGCGTTATCGTAAAAGGGATAAGATTACGTGGGCTCGCCGTATGACGCGCCGTGGGTTTCCCAATATATCTGTCATCTCATCCGCCTTCACTTAAGGCACATAATTTCATTGCATCCTGGGTACCGTGGGAGCAACAAATTTCTTTTTATGATCAGGAAATAAGCGGATTTGGGTAAGTGCTATCATAAAGAGGATGTAATTATTATACGCTACCCAAACGCGTCATGGGTTTCTAAACGCATCCGTGATTTTACTAATTTTCTAATCTTCTATATCCATTTCCCGCTTTCCATGAAAACTCTCCTCATTGGGGGTCGTCATCCGTCACCCCCAAAAATCTTCCCTATAAAACCCTTACTCTCTGGCCACTCCACAGTACCAGTCACTCAGTCAGTCAGTCAGAGTCAGCCAGAGTCAGCCACTCAGTCAGCCATTCAGAGTCAGTCAGTCAGTCAGTCAGTCAGTCATTTTTCTTTTTCTTCTTCTTCTGCTGAGTATCAACGAACCCATGTTCTACGTACTATTCACTGCAGTCGATTCACCTAAATCGTAAGTCTCTATTTCATATTTAAACATGACTTTTAATCATTTCAATCCAATCTCCAATCCCACTTCACTCCTTAAAACACACACATACACTGCGTAATTATTATCTTCCTTGTATTATATAATGATGTTTTTCTCGCTATACCGATACGTTAAACATTCTTGTTACGATAAATCCGATTGTATTAAATTAAGTTGCACGAATTACTTTTTTTTTTTACTTTAATCTTTATCTTATATTTTCATTATTCCAATAATGCTAATTTATAAAAGTTGTTTAATGTTAACCCATATACCTCATAGTTTAACTTTAGCTGACCCTTTCATCATTTAAATATTGTATCTTTTACAATGACTTTTCTTATCAATTCACCACTATTATCAACCCATGTAAGAACCAAATTATGTTATTAGTATAATTAATAAAATATTTTATTCAAAATGCCCTAAATTTAACCAAGTTGTTAAAATTATTTATTCATTTCCCTTCAATTACCTAAATCTAAATTCCCCTCTCAACACGCTCATATGGTCCTACCTCAGGTAAAGAGATTAAGTTCTTTGACCTAAATAAAGGACCACCTAACGTACGTTCTGTGATCGGAGTAAGTAGGCCTCTCCGGACCTTGACCTGATCTGCAGACCTACCAGTACGTTTAAGACTCGGGAGTGCGCGAGTAAGCGATATTTGTTGCGTACATCCTCTTCCAGGACGTAACAAAACTAATACAAGTTAAGGTAGCCAGTTCAGCAAAAATAACATGTCTATTAATTTTGTAATATAATCTTGTGAAGTGAAAGACTCATCAATTTTTTTTTTAATAGAAAGCATATTTTAGGACTTGTTTACTTACATTAATTATTAAAAACCCCTGAAGACAAAATAGTACACCGAAAAAGAACATCAGACCAAGTAGCATTAAATTAAAAATGTCATCGATGACTTGAATAGATCTGCAATTGTCTCAAGAAATATCATAATTTAAAATCATTATATATATATGACAATTAATTATTATTGATTATTTTAAATATAATTAATATGATTCACTTTTATAAACCTAACTTAATAACCTGATCAAGCGGACGTGATCCATAATATTGTACTTTAATGTCTCTTTGAAATTTAAATTTTTTCCCAAATTAGTTAATCGAATGTGCAGATTCTCTAGCTGACCGCATATGTGCAAGACCAATAATCCAAAGAAAGTGTCCACCCCGGTGTAAGTGAGACCTGACAAGCCCAAACCGATTCCTTGCATCAGAAGCGTTAGCTCGAATTGCGGGCTTTCGGTCACATCATATAAGTAGTATGATTGTATCGGCGTAGGTTTCCCAGGATCGGTCAAGTTCGTCACGTGCCTGAGTGTCAGACCGAAACACGGAAAAACGACAGTGATTGAAAATGCCAAGAGTATCATGAATCCTCCGCATATGGCGAACACGCGAGTAATTTTGGCTCGTTTCAACATAACGTTTCGTTCTTCTTTCAGCTTCACCTTCGTCCAGTCCTTCGCGATCATATCAATTAGCGGCGCTAAAGCTGCGAAGAGGTGTTAATAATATTAACAACAACAACGATAATAATAATAATAATAATAATAATAATAATAATTTTTTTACGTGTAGCGAATAGAAGAATATAGAAGTAAAAAAATTATTGTTTAGAAGTAAAACAAAATACGAACGAAAAAGACGAAACATTAATAGAAATTTTATCATAAAGCTTTATTTAAACATAAAAATATGATTATCTGTAGCAACGCGGAAATAATATAAAGCAATCAACGCGAAAACTACAAAAATTAATATTTGGTTGACGCATAATTATCAGCCGTTTATTTTTTACGTATTTATTACTTATAAATATTTGCGTTCGTTCATTTCGTTAATAAAAACTATTGTTCTATATTTACTTAATAGAAATGCGTGTCGAAAATCATATTCATCTGCGCCATATTATGATCTATATTATGCTCACTTCGAGAAAGAATGGACCGCAGCACAGTCATTCCGCAATCTCAACGATCTTTTTGGCGAAGAAACAATCAGTGAAAGGCAGTGTCGAGAATGGTTTTCTCGTTTCAAATCTGACCACACAAGCATGGAAGACAAGTCAGGAAGAAGACGGCCATCGGATTTTGACGATAAGGCACTTCTGGCAGCCGTGTTCCTTTGCCAAAAAGATTGTTGAAATCGCCGAATGACTGTGCTGCGGTCCATCCTTTCTCGAAGATAGAGAATAATATAACGCAAGTGAGTGTGATTTTCAACACGCATTTCTAATAAGTAAATATAGAAGAATGATCTTTATCAAAAAAGTAAACAAACGCCAATATTCATAAGTAATAACTACGCAAAAAATAAATGGCGGATAATTATGCATCAATCCAATATAAAAAAGTAATAGTCGGAAATAATGGCAAATAAAATTGAATAAGGCAATATCATCGCATGTCGATTATAATAATAATAAAATTAACGGATATCCGGTGACTATTAATAATAAGGTAATTCCATATGCAAACTTGGCAAAATACTTAGGTATGAAACTGGATGTTAAACTTAAATGGAAAGAACATATCGAAAAGAAAAAGGAAGAACTGGAAATAAAATATAAAAAAATGAATTGGCTACTAGGCAGGAAATCAGAACTTATAATACGAAATAAAATACTACTGTATAAGCAAGTTCTAAAGCTAATATGGATGTACGGCTTGCAGCTCTGGGGATGTAAAAAACAGACAAACATCAGCATAATCCAAAGATTCCAAAATAAAGTTCTAAGGAACATAGTAAGTGCTCCCTAATACGTTAAAAACAGTGACCTACACAGAGATCTGAGGGTGAAAATGATGGTTAATGAAATTGGAAGGGTGGTGAAAAGCCAAGAAGAAATGCTTCATAACCATAATAATGATGAAGTAGTAAAGCTACTGGACATTAGAGAAATGACAAGAAGACACAAAAAGGTGAAACCATTTGAACTGGTATAAACAGAAGAAATTAAGTGACACCGCTGGGTAAAACTTAAATTATCTATATAGTTATTAAGATGATATCAGAATTAAATTACTCTTTAGTCAAAAGACTAGTTGTAATCAGACTTCAATATAAAAAAATATGTAGCATCGCGAAATATAAAATTTGTTAGTTATTTGAAGATATGAATTTATTAATGATGTGTTAATGAGTATACATAAATATTTTTATACGTTTCATGTTTCTTTAGTATGAACGTACAGAACATGCTGAGAGAAAATCAAATTCTGTAACATGTACCTTTTTTCTTGCTCCAAAGAATAGACATTTTCAGTGCTGAGATTAACAGTGGTAAGGTATACTGCAGATTGTCTATCATTAGCATCATGTCGCCCCATATCCTTAACAACGACCATAATGCCGGTATCAGTATAAACATTAGTGTGGCGATGTTGAGCAACAATTGAAATTTCGATAGGACAACATTCGTATCTTTGTTTTGCGGCGGCCACAATCCGACAATTTTCAACATGCGGCGATTTAAACCGATCGCCCATTCTAGATCTGAACGATCAACTGGTCAGACTTCGGTATGTCAAAAACATGTACGTGATGATGACAAAATATAACTTTACATATTGCGTAACTTTTCACATGTCGAGATATTGCGAATATGTGTGAAAACTAATTGAGAAACACACAATTGATTATTTTTTTCTCGAAGAAAAATTTACTTAAATTTTACTATATAATTATTACAACTACTCTGGAAATTATTAACTGATGAAGATGTGAAGTGCACCATTGTATCCGTTTGAACGATCCATTCCAAGAGCAAAAGGGACTGTCTTGCCTCATTGATGAATGATCACTCCCACCTTCGATAGATTGTTATCACGCATACTTTCCGCAAAATTTTTCAGACACAAAATGACCATATCATCATACATATCACAATAGGTAACCCAACAAGAATGACGAAGATTATCGCATTATCGCGTTGTTAACATGTTCAACTGGCGGAAGGGATGAATGAATAAATTATAATCGCGGCATCGGCAGAACGAATCATAGTTTTCATGGTTTTTAATGACTTTTTTCTTCTTTTTCGCCGTCGAACAATTCGCAACTGAAGGGGTATAACCACGAGTTTCTCTTGTGAGGATGCGAAACGAGCCGGTGGCCAATGAAAATTTTAAGAGATGCGAGCAATGACACCAGTTTATCGAAACTTTTTATGTTGCCAATGAAATGTTTAGCCACTGGAAGAGAGAATTGTAAATTAGACGAGTATCTGACAGTGTATTATTAATGAATTTTCAACAGCTGCGGACATCCTCAGAGTATAGTCAAAACATAGCCGTGCAACGAGAAAGACAAGGTCGCCGATGATTTGGCAGTTAACGTCTATCATCATTATATAATATAGAGAAAATCAAATTTTGATAGTGAATGTAAAACGTGTACGAGCTCACTTAATATAAATATAATAAATTTTGATATTTATTATAGCGCGTGCGATTGAAACACATCAGACTAAACAATATAAAACTTCCAAAACAGAAACAACTAAAAGTAATTTATTGCCAGAGCAAATTTTAATAATAAAACATAAAATCTCGGAGACAAACCAACATAACTATGTAATTGACAAACTGACCTTCTTCATTAAAAATATTGCAACTAATAGAAACAAATAATTCATTAATAAGGTAATAAGTGTTGTCCAGGGCACTTTAATAATATTTTAGCATTGTCTATATCTTTCTATTATAAAAAAGTTTAACAAGAGAAGAAATGAATCTAGTAGAATAGATTTCAAGACTAGTAGCTAGATAGTAATGACTAGATGAGTTTCCTAGCCAGTTACTAGTTCGTGACTAGCTAAATATTCTTAATCAATCTTTTATTGTCTAGCTGCTGTCTAGTCAATAGATAGAAAATATGGTAGTAGATGGCGCTAACTTTTCTAAAATATGCAATCTGGCTACTATATCGCCAATAGCAGGGTTATATTAGTGTTACGTCCTGGAAGAGGACGAACGCAACAAAATTGTTTACTCGCACACTGGCGAGTCCTAAACGTACTAGGTCTGCAGATCAGGTCAAGGTCCGGAGAGGCTCATTTACTCCGTTTACAGAACGTACGTTAGGTGGTCCTTTATTTAGGTCAAAGAACTTAAAATCTTTACCTGGGATAGGACCATATGAGTGTGTTGAGAGGGGAATTTATATTTAGGTAATTGAAAGGAGATGAATAAATAGTTTTAACGACTTGATTAAATTTAGGGCATTTTGAATAAAACAGTTTATTAATAATATAATTTGGTTCTCGGATGGATTAATAATAGTGGTAAGTTGATAAGAAAAGTCATTGTAAAAGATACAACATTTAAAAGATGAAAGGGTTAGCTAAAGTTAAACAATGAAATATGTGGATTAACATTAAACAAATTTTTATAAATCAGCATTACTGGAATAACGCTACATACAAATTTTTATAAATCAGCATTACTGGAATAACGCTAAATACAAGATGAAGATTAAAATGAGATTAAGCAAAAGGTAATTCGTGTAACTTAATTTAATACAATCGGATATAACGCAACAAGAATGTTTAACATATCGGTATAGCGAGGAAAACATCATTATATAATATAAAGAAAACAATAATCACGCAGTGCAGGTATGTGTTTAGAGGGATGAAGTGGGATTGGAAATTGGATTGAAATGGTTAAAAGTCATGTTTAAATATAAAATGGAGACTTACGATTTAGATGAATCAATAGACTGACGAGGACAAATGAAGACGAAGACGAAGGCTGGACTAGACTATGGTTGTGGACTGCTGAAAACTAAACTAAGACTGACTAACTAAGAACTGACACTAAGAACTGCAACTGTGACTGCGACTGTAACTCTAATTGTAACTATAACTTGAACTGGACTCGACTGTACTGTATTGAACTTGAACTGGTCTGGACTGAACTAAACTAGACTGAACTGTAATTGTAACTGTGACTGTGACTGTCACTTACTGACTGACTGACTGCAAGAAAAACTACTATTGTAACTGCGCTCGCGGCAAAAAAGGTAAGGCTTATATAGGAAGGATTTCAGGGGGTGGTGGATGACGTCCACCAATGAGAGGAGGTTGCGTGGGAGACGGTTACTCTGAAAAATTCCTAGTATTAATATAAACAATTTTAAGAACCTAATCGCATAGGAGGACCCTTGTTCTACCGACTGTGTACAAGGATGGATAGATCGCAGCCCCATCGGGAGCCTTATGACATATGTGGGCGGCGTGTACTCGTATCTTTTCATAAACCGCTTGATCAAATTTGTTAGTTTTATAATCATAAGAAAAGGAATCCGTTGCTATCTAGGTGGGTACCATACCCAGTATGGACACATACGTGTCTAACGTAGAGGCGGCAAGATATCTTAATTATATAAAAAAAACGAATCTATCGTCCCCGGGGTACCCAGGATGTAAATAAACTACATACCTTACATGAAGGCGGAATGAGTGATAAACGCCTGGGGAACCATACGGTACGTTTAACGGCGGCCAATGTACTTTTATCTTTGTTAGCACTTGCCCGAAATCCGTCTGTTTCCCAATCATATAATTAAAAAGAGAGATTCATAGTTTCCGGTACACCCAGGACGTAACATTAACCAGCACATCGAAATTATGGTTATAATATCAAACTCTCTGTCTATTCATTAATCTCGTAACAATGTGCTGTAAATCCTATATAGAAATTGAATGTCAGGACTGTATATTAGCTACACCAATTACACAAACTAAACGAAAAATATTACATAGTGTTGTAAGTGCAACGATAAAGTATGTCAAAGACCATAAACGGGGTCACGGCTCCGAATTACCAAACGTCGCTATGCAGAAATGCAACCTGGCATTCCTGCAATAGAGATATTAAAATCAGGATGGTCAGCGTCCTCATTTAGATGACGCTGACACATCAATACCGTCCCCTCTGATTAAGACATAGGAAGAGGATAAAAAGGGATGTAAGACCGGCGCGTGTGCGACTCTAACTCTCAACTCTCGGGTACGCTGTCGGACGCGTACGTAATATTGTATCGGGCGAACACGTAATAAAGACAAGTTCAATTTTTTCTACAACAAGATAGTTTATTTATCACCGCCTTCTCCCGCTCTACTGCACTGTACGGGCACCCCACATTACGGATGCGCAACAAATCTGGTGGCAGCTGGTGGGATCTGCCTTCCAGCAACAGCCTGCAACAGAAAAAGGAGAAGGATTTTGTGAAGAAGCAATCGCAACAGAGCGGTGAGTAACAAATCCTGGGACAATTAGTAAAGGGAACGGAAAACTACGTAGCAATATAGAAGGAACGAACGTCGGAGCTACGACCACCTACACGGACCAACCACGATAGTAGAGCAGGCGACGACGCAGCAAAGGCAGTAGAAACGATCTACCTCAACGCAGCGACCAGCGCCAGGCAACTCGACGCCGGACAATGAGAGCACCGATAACGAACCGTGCGAGAACGAGACAGCGCGACCCGTCGATATGCGTGCCGTCTTCTTAATGTCAGTCCTAGTATAATACACACAAGCACATACATACACATACGCGAGAAGCCAAGCCGTCTGCGTGAATGTCTGAAGGTAGTAATATACCGTGTAATCCGTGCAAGAACAGATCCTGGCTGCATAGCGCACCTGCGGCGTATACGAGGTCTGTTCAAAAAGTATCGCGAATTTTGAATTTCCGCGGGTTACGTATATTCGATTTTCGATTTTTTTGTGGCGTTATGTTGGTACTCATGTCCCTCACTTATGCCGACAAGTTCGGCCATTTTGAACATTCAGTTTATCTTTGACAGCTGTTTTGCTTGAACGTGTTTTGGCTCGTCTTCGATTTTTGCCTATTCCAAAAAATGGATCAAAGAATCTAACAAAATTAAGTGCGCGGACGCATTCCGAATGTTGACTGTAGCATATGGTGAAGCTACCTTGGACCGAAGCAACGTTTATCGGTGGTACAAAATGNGAAGATGTGAACGACGAAGAGCGTGCCGGACGCCCGAGCACGTCAACAACAGACGAAAACATTGATGAAGTGAAGAAAATAGTATTGGCCAATCGTCGAATCACCGTTAGAGAAGTTGCTGAGGACCTAAACATATCGATTGGGGGACCTAAACATATCGATCGTGCCATTCGATTTTTACTAATGATTTGGACATGAGACAAGTCGCCGCGAAATTGGTACCAAAATTGCTCAATTTCTACCAAAAACAGCATCGCATTGACATTGCTGAGGAGCTGTTGGACTCTGTCCGCGACGACCCAAATTTGCTCCAGAGGGTCATAACTGGTGACGAATCATGGGTTTATGGTTATGACGTGGAAACCAAAGCTCAAT